CCCGCGTAGTACACTTGGCCTCCGGTGCCAACACAGCTGATTTCTTTATGAAGGCACTTGCGCCTAAAGATCATCAGCGGCACAGGGCCTTGATTGTGTACAGACCTTTGTATACGTATATTACGAAGATTGACCGTTGTGGCCTCTTCCCAGTGGTTGGACTAGTAGTGCCACCCTGGTCTTGCTCTTGTTTTGTCTGTACTCCTTTTGACTGGTCTTTAGACCCTTGCCTCAGAGGCTGGACTAGTAGTGCCGCCCTGAGCTGCTAGATTTCTTGTTAGGCACTGCCCCTATATCGTCTAGGGGGTGTGTCAAACATATCTTCGTATGTTAGTATAGACAATATAGGTTTGTGCCTTAGAGGGTACAACACACTAGCCTACATACCCCTGTACTCTCTCCTTCTAGTTCATTCTTGCATTCTAACAAGACGAATCAGAAAACATTGTGAAAGGTGAGGAGCGAGGGCTTGAACGTTCACAGAAGCGTGGGGTGGGGTGGGAATTCGCCAAGTGGCAAGTTTACGTCCAATCGAGACGAAGGCATAAATTTTCTCACTGTCTTGAATCTGGAGACAGAATCCAAACCGTCGATCGATACTGTGACAAATCGGATCGCCTCCAATATGTTTCCCAAAGGGTTTCCCGTCAAATCAAATGCTCACTTGAACAAATCAGATGTTAAATTATATATTGTGTTATATAATTGGTAGGCTTGGTAGGTTATCAAACTCTACTGTAGAGGGTACAATCCCCTCCTTGTATCCTTCTCTCTTTCTATTCCAACCCTTTTTTCTCTCGTCAAATTTCTCTCCTAACTCGCCTGCTCCTAAAACCTCTCGCCATTTCATGGCCGCCTTTCTTCCTAGCTAGTCTTTTTTTACATGGTATCAGAGCGTGTTCCCCTTCCCGGGCCTGCTCCCCACGCTTCCGCTGCATACTCCTTCTCTCCCTCGCGCGCTGCCATGGCGGCCGCGTCGTGCTGCTGTGGCGGCGTCGTCGTGCCGCTGGCCGCGTCGTGCCGCGGCCGTCTCGACGCGCTGCCTTGGCGTCGCACCGTCGTGGCGTCAACGTCCAGCAGTGACGGCACCGTCGTCGTAGTGCCGTTGGCCGCGTCGTGACGCGGCCGTCTCGACATGCTGCCCGTGGCGTCGCCGTCCAACCGTGGCGGCACCGTCGACGTCCAGCCGTGGTGGCGTGACGGCGCCGTCGTGCTGCCGTCGCAGCGTCGACGTCTCGCCGCGGCATCGATGCCGCTCTGTGATGGCGCCGTCAGGCTGCAGCCAGCCGCGCGACACCTGTGGCGCCGCTAGACCTGCCGCACGCACGTCAGCCTCCCCCCCTGTCAGAAACTCAGCCACTAACCATTGAGTTAAAAGGGCTTGTTAATAGCGGGCCAGTGCGCCCATAGCCCCCCAGGCTCTGCGCCTGTGGCCCTTCCCCAAGGATCTTCTCAAGGGTAACCCCCAACGGGTCACTCGACACCCCCCTCTCGCTGGGATAGGTGGAAGACACGAGTGCCTCTGCAGCGCTAGCACTGGGAATTGAACCCGAGTCACCAACGCTCTGATAGCATGTCAGAACCTCAGCCACTAACCACTGAGAGAAAAAGGCTTATTAATAGCGGGTCAGTGCGCCCATAGCCTCCGAGGCTCTGCACCTGTGACCCTTCCCCGAGGATCTTCTCAAGGGTAACCCCCAGCGGGTCACTCTGTCAAACATGACTTAGTTTGTTATTGTAGATTGTATAGGTTTGTGCATTAGAGGGTACAACACACTGGCCTATATTCCCTTGTACCCTCTCATTCTAGTTCATTCTTGCATTCTAACATGGTATCATGAGTAGGTTAGTTCCTGCCCGCAAACCAACGCTTCCGCCCTAGGTCCTAGCTGGCCCGCGCCCGTCCCCTAGCCGCCCACTTGCGCACCCTAGACTCGACCTGGCATTCTGCCTGCACTGCGGCCCAGCTCCGCGTGTTCCAACCCCCCCTCTACGCTACCCTCTACCTGCTTGCCACTGCCCGCGATCACCTTGACCACCTTGCTACTGCCCGCGATCATTTCCTTAGTCTCCACCCTGTAGAACTCACCCTCACTGACTTTGTCGACACCCTGTCTGCCATAGAGACCCGCCAGCGCTTTATCGCCCATTCCAGCGGTACTGTGCCATTCTCTATCTTTCAAGGCTGTGCGCCCACTCAATGCACTTTCTCTGACGGCTCTGCTGCTATTGCTGAGACAGCCGTTGTAGCACAATTCCGTCTGAGAAAGGGCCACCGCCCCAAGGCTGGGCGCGGCGGTGGTGGTGGAGGAGGTGGGGGTGGAGGAGGTGGTGGAGCCGGGTCGCCCACTGGTGGTGCTAACGAGGGCGCTGGGCTTGGCACCGCCGAGCAGCAGTCTCCACAGTAGCAGCAGGTTCCACCGCTGGAGCAGCAGCCGCCGCAGCCGCTGCAGCAGCCGCAGCCGCAACAGTCACAGCAGCAGCAACAGCAGCAGCGGTGGGTTGGTCGTCTCCCGCCCGGGTGGCCCGGTGCTGGTGGTGGCGGCGGTCGCAGTGGTCGTGCGCGTGGCGTGACGTCGGGTGGTGGTTGGGTTGACATGCGCTGCCAGTACCAGCTCCAGACCGGTCCTCCCCGTGGCTTCGTCTGCGGTAAGATCGGTCACACCCACACCCGCTGTTTCCGTCGCTTGGACGACCTGTTTCGTCTTCGCTTCGGCCCGTCGCTCGACCTCCCCGACTGGCTCAGCTTGCTCCGTCGGGGTGTTCAGATCTTTGACATGGATATGGATGAGATTATCTCTGCGTTGTTTGTGCTATATGTCGATGACTCTAGTGTGATTGGTTCCGCTTACCTCGTGTTGCCTTGCGTAGGTGTGCGTATTTCAGACTCCCTTGCTGCGCCAGGCGTAGGATCCCTTGATTTATTTAGCCTAGGCTCCTCTCTCGCTTCTTCGACCCCAGCTGCCACTGCCGCGCTCTCCTTCACCCTTGACTCTGGCGCTTCCTGGTGCTTCTTCCGGGACTCCACTACTCTCATGCCACTTGCCGCTCCCGCCGCAAATTCCCTGGCTGACCCTTCCAAACTTCTCGCGGTTCACCACAGTTTTCCCGTTGGAGCGGAAGGCCGACATGCTGACCATTCGCCTCCCCTGGCTTCTCACTGTTCGCACCGCCCACCGACTGTCTGGAGGTCGCTTACACTTTGACAGCGGAGGCGAGTTCGCCTTTGGCTCTCTAGGACGGTTGTGTCGTGCGGAGGGCATCCGCCAGACGTACACACTGCCAGACTCCCCACAGTAGAATGGGGTCACTGAGCATTGCATTGGCCTCATCATGGAGGTGGCTCGCACCTCCATGGTCCACGCCGGTGCACCCCATTTTTTGTGGCTGTTCTCCATGCGCTACGTTACTCACCACCTTAATCTGTGGCCGCGCTCCCAGCGACCACAGGTTTTGCCAACCCTCCTCTGGACCAGGTCTCCTGGTGACGCATCTGCGTTCCACGTCTGGGGCAGCCTTGCTCACGTCCGCGATGCTGCCGCAGACAAGCTCTCAGCCCGCACACTTCCTTGTATCTTCTTGGGGTTCCCGCTTGACGCCTCTAACTGGCTGTTCTACCACTCCCCACACCACCGTTTTTACCACTCTCGTGACGTCACCTTCGACGAGACGCTCCCCTACTACCAGTGCTTCCCGCACCGCTGTGCTCTTGTACCTCCTCCTTCTCTCTTCCTTGTCCCTGCCCCCCCTGCCGCACCCCTCCCGCCCCGCCCGGCCCAGTCTGGTGTCTCCCACGCCACTCAGTTCCCCTTGGTTCCCCTTGTGGGGGAGTCGGCTGACTCTGGGGGCCAAGCTGTTGGGGGTGCGCCTGCTGTCCCTGTGGTGCCCCCCCCAGCCTTGGTCCTCTAGGCCCCTCAGCCGCTTGCTCCCTTGCCTCAGCAGCAGCAGCCGTCGCCGCAGCAGACTCCACGGCCGCAGCAGCAGCAGCAGGGAGCAGTGGGCTCTGGGGGTGCTGGTTCTGGGGGTGCGAGTTCTGGGGGTGCGAGTTCTGGGGATGCTGACTCCAGGGGTGCTGGTTCTGTAGGTGGTGAGACCGAGGGTGCTAGTCTTGGGGTTGCTGTTTTGCGGCGTGCAGGTGGCAGCTTTGGTGCCACTGAAGGTCCTGGAGCGGACATGCACCAGCAGGAGCAGCAGCAGCAGCAGCAGGTGCAACCGTCGCAGCAAGAGCCGCCGCAGTCTGCCCTTCGTCTCCTTGGTCTTGCTCCAGGGTCCCCTGTCAGCCCGCCCGTTCCCCCTCCGGTGCGTGATCCTGTTTACGGCTCGTTGTTTCCTCCTCCGGACTCCTCTCCGGCTCGTTTCCCCCCGCGCTCCCGTCCGACCCCTGACCTGTCCCCCGTCCCCCCACGTCCCCAGTCCCCAGTTCTTCCCCACTAGGTTCGTCGCCCCTCTGGTGCTCGTCCTGTCTCTCCCCGTCCTAGTGTCCACCCTATGCTCCTTCGTTCACGTGCTCCTCCCATCACAGTCCTCCCGTTGCCTCCCCCATCGTCGCTACCGTCGTCCCCCCCTCCTCGCTCCGATGCTGTTCGCACTGCTCGTCCAGTCCTGTCACGCCTGATTGCATCGCTTGTCACTGACCCTTTGCTCCTCCTGAGTCTGTCTCTGCGCTGGTTGCTACCGTCGTTGACTTTGCTGCCATCCACCGCCTTGACTACGCTGCCGCTCTGGTCTCTAGTACTATCCGTCCTGTTAGGATTAAGGACGGAGTCTAGGTGAACTTAGGAGCTAGAATTACTCAAAATATAAATCCGAAATTCTGGACAGAAAAGTCGTCTTCACAAGAAACGACGTCGACAAACAACTAGCCGTTGGAATGTCGCGAAACTTGGATATGTTGTAGCTCTTAATCTCAGCTACCGTTCCCAATTTGAATCATGTTGATTGATAAAGTATTCGCGACGCTATGGCTTTCGACGCACTAGGGGGTAAGCTGTAGGAGGAGAACTTAACTCAATCTCAAAGGTTCAATCAAAGTTCAAGAATCTCACAAGGAATTAGAAGGAGCAAGAGAAAGGTTGGGATAGGAAGAGAGGGATGAGAGGGGAGGTCCCAAGAGAGTCCCCAACCAAGGAAACCCCATAAGCACAAAGATTCCCTCCCTATAGGAACCCAAACTTTGACATTTGTCCCTTCCCAACCAATCCATCCAAGTTGGCCACCCTTGCCAACCTAGCTTGGTTGTTCCCAACCAATTTGCAGCTGTTACAGTAGAGTGACAAGTTTCCCCAACCCCAAAGGTCCCAACTCCATATAAAGTCACCCCACAACTTCACTTTGTAACCGCCGCAATTGTAACGCAAGCTCATGAACTTTGAATCTTCATAGCTTTCGCATTCTTGCTCCGATTGAAGCGATTCTTGTTGCGTCGGAAAGATCTTCTCAAGATCTATCATCACAAATACCTGCTCAGACAGAATAACACAAAACACATTCCCAAACTCCAGAACACACCACACACAAATTCTTTCACACACAGTCAAACCATACATACGAATTGAAACAAGAGATGAGAGGCAGACAGAATGTGATAGCATATGATGACATCACACAACAATCTCCCCCTCTGGCTGCCAACCATCATCGACCATACCACATCTCAAGCATGCATACTCAATGCACACTCATCCCAGCAAGCTTCATGCCCTTCCAATGATCCGCCTCCGCAAGACGCTTAGTGAAAATATCTGCTGCCTGCTGATGGGTCTTCACTATCTCCAGCCGCACCTCCTTATCAAGGATTCTCCTCACCCAATGCCACTTAGGCCTTATGTGTTTTGTCAGCCCATGCAGACAAGCATTCTTGGCCAGCTTCACTGCAGACTCATTGTCACAGAACACAACTGTCGGCTCCTCCTGACCAACTCCCAACTCCTCCAACAAACGCCTCAGCCATACCACTTCCTTGGCCCCATGGTGTAAGGCCATGTACTCAGTCTCACATGAAGACAATCCCACCTCATTCTGCTTCTTGCTGCGCCAGCTCACAGCACCACCTCCTAGCAAGCACACATAACCCCCAATGCTGGTGCCATCCGCTTTCACTGAGTTGAAGCTAGCGTCAGTATAGCAACTCAAGAGCATCTTTCCACTCTTCACATCTGCAGCACCTCTCTGCAACCGCTGCCTCACTCCACTGTACTCCAATCCCACTGATGCCGTAGCACTCACATAGCGGACCAACCTCTTGGCCGCTTCCAGCTGCTCATGACTAGGGCGTGAGACCACACTAGCCAACCGTGATGTAGAAAATGCAATGTCAGGCCGTGTATGATTTGCAGCATAATTCAGCGACCCAACCATCGAATGAAACAGCTTCCTGTCACTCTCACCCACTACCTCCTCATCAGCACATGGCTCCACAGTAAACCCTGAAGGTAGTGGTGTTGCTGGCTTTCCCCCATCTTGCAGCCCATACTTCTCAGCCAGCCCCTCACAGTACTTCCTCTGGTGCAACCTCAGCACACCCTTTTCCACATCTCTCTCCACGTGCATCCCCAAGTAGTACTTCACCTCACCCATCTTGGAGCACTTGAACTGCATCTCCAGCATCTGCTCTGCGCTGTCCAGCAAAGCAGTGGATGCAGAAAAGAGAAGGATATCATCCACATACACCAAGAGCATGAGGATTTCATCCTTCTCCTGCAGCAGGAACAGGCTGGGGTCACACTCACTCTTCTTGAAACCCCCAGCCAACAGCGCCTCCTCCAACTTGTGATACCATGCACGAGGCGCCTGCTTAAGGCCATAGATGGCCTTCTTCAGCCTGCAGACCCTGCCGCTCCCGTCATCCAGCCCCTCTGGCTGTTTCATGTACACCTCCTCCAGAATGATCCCATTCAGAAAGGCAGTCACAATGTCCATCTGCCGTATCTTCCATCCCAGGAGTGCAGCTATCGCCAACAGCACCCTCAGTGTTGTTCCTTTCCCCACAGGAGCAAACACCTCATCATAGTCCTTCCCCTTTGTCTGCTGAAACCCCCGTGCCACAAGCCTAGACTTGTAGCGGGTCAGCTCCCCTTCAGGTCCATACTTGTGCCTGTAGATCATCTTGGAAGTGATTGCCTTCTTTCCAGGAGGCAAGTCACACAGGTCCCATGTCTCGTTCTCAATTAGGGACCCGAACTCCTCATCCTCACTCGCCTTCCACTTCTCCCCATTTGGTCCATTCAAGGCCTCCTCTCGAGTCTTGGGCTCAGGGATTGGTGCCCAGTAGCAGTGAGCGATCTCATCTTCCTCAATCTGCTCAACCACACTCCCAGCCTGCACCACATTTGGCTTGCCTCTTCCCCCATAGGTCAGCCTCACAGGAGGGCGCACATCCCTCCTAGGTCGCTCAGGCGGGTGTGGAACTCGAGGTGGAGACTCATGTTGCTGTTGCTGCTCCACTTCAGCTGCTCCCCCTTCTTCAGTCACCCCAGATATCTCCTCCTCAGACACTGCAACCTCCACCTGCCTTGAAGGCTGCTGCAACTCATCTGCCTCCACAATGAGTGGTGTAGATGGAAGCTTCTGTTGCTGCTGCTTCCATTCCTTATAGTACAGGGACTCAAGAAACTTCACATCCCTTGACACTGTCAGCTTCTGGATGGTCAAGTCCCATAGAAGCCATCCCTTGTGATCCTTTGCAATCCCCAAGTGCACACCCCATCTTCCAGAAGCCTCCAACTTCCCTCTTTTCTCCTTAGGCACATGAAACACTACCATGCACCCAAATGCCCTCAGCATATTCACAGCTGGAGCACTCCCATACCACTTGGTATATGGGATCCACTCCTTATCCCCAACTGTAGCCAGCACTCTATTCTTCACAAGGGCGACCTGCCTCAGTGCAGACACCCAAAACGGATCAGGTAGCCCTGCACGCCCAAGGAGAGTGCGTGCCCCCTCCTGCAGGGTCCTGTTGAACCTCTCAGCCACGCCATTCTGCTGCGGGTTGTAGGGCACTGTCAGTTGATGCTGGATCCCCTTCCTCTTCAACTCCCCCTCAAAATCAGCTCCAATGAACTCCCCACCATTGTCACTACGGATCACCTTCACCTTGTGTCCGCATTCCCTCTGAGCTCTCGGCATCCACTCCTTAAGGACAGCCGCTGCCACCTCCCCCTTGCTCTTCAAAGGGTAAACCCACACTGCCCGAGTGTGGTCATCCACAATTGTCAAGAAATAGCGGCTGCCTGAGAGGGAAGGGGCTCTTGTGGGCCCCACCACATCCATATGCACAAGTGCAAGTGGGGTCTTGGCTGGTCCTGTAGTGCTGTTGAAGGGGAACTTGGAGAACTTGGTCTCCAAGCATGTAGGGCAGCTCCCAATCTCCTTCACTCCCCCTTTCACCTCCAAGCCCTTCAGGCTCCCATCCTTCACCAACTTCTGCAGCATAGGGAAGTTCACATGACACAGCCTCTCATGCCATGTCTCCCAATCGGCCTCTCCACTCCTTGGTGAAGCCTTAGCCCATGCCGCACTTGCATCCACACCAGCAAGCACCTCACCATGTGTCTGCTGCTGCTGCACTTTCTTGACTGCTTCCAGGACCCCATCAGTTGGTGCAGTTGCATCTCCTCCTGCTGTTGCCTTTGCCGCTGCTGCCGTTGCTGCTGTTGGAGTCTTCCCATTCCATGGGATGATGGGCAGCTGCCACAGGTCCTTGATGCAGCTGGTCTCCTCTTCCAGACTCCACAGCACCTTCTTCCCAAGCTTAGCACGGCAGCTGGTTGGTCCAAAGGTCACTTCGGCCTTGCTCTTCTGCAGTCGTCGCACAGAGAGAAGGTTAGCAGACAAGCCTTCAACCAGCAGAACATTCCCAAGCCCCACAAGCTCCCCATTAGCTCCCTTAACCTTGGCATTCCCAACACCAATCACGGGGAGCAAAGCACCTGACGCTGCTGCCACATACTTAATCTTCCCAGGGGGTTTTACCTCATCAAGCAAATCTGCCCGTGGAGTCATGTGACTGGTGCAACCCGAATCAATCACCCAGTGCGTGAGAGGGTGCATCACAACCTTTCCGACAGATCCCACATCACCCTCATGCCCATGCACATCCTCAACCATGAGATACATCCCAGGATAGGCGTTACCTTGTGCACCTTCACCTTGTGCACCTGAGCCTTGCACAGCGCCACCTTGTGCGCGTTCACCACTTGGCGGCTTCATGCCTGGAGGTGACCATCCCTCCAGCCTGCTGAAGCACTTGAACCAAGGATGCCCGACCTTCTTGCAGTACCAGCAGGTGCCCTCCATTCTGGTACTCCCCCTGCCACTGGAGCTCCCATGCCCCTCATTATAGTCACCTCGGCCTCTACCTCTGCCAAAGCTTCTCCCACGGCCTCGGCCTCTCCAACCCCCTCTTCCTCTGCTGCGCCCTGCAGCTCCATACCCCTCAGCAGTCTTAGTGGCAGCACCGCCTCCCACATGGCGTCTGCGGAAGTCCTCCTGCAGAATCTGCTGCCTTAGCCACTCAGGTGTCCATTGATCTTGCTGAGAGTTGAGGGTGGGGATGAGGTTGTCCCAAGAGTTGTCCAACACCGAGATGATCTTGGTGCACTGCTGCAGCTGAGATACACTGCTGCCCGCTGCTGCCATCCTTGCATAGGTGTCCTTGATCTTGTCAAGGACCGGCTTCACATCGTCCCCTGGTCGCATGGAGATGGCAGCAAGTTCCTTCTCGAGCACGATCACCATCAGGAGAGTGTTGGGCTGAATCACATCGCGTAGTAGTTTCCACGCCCTTGGACCCGAATCATCCGCTTCCACAAGATCCTTGATGTGCTCGAACATCTCCTTGTTGACCGATTGAAGGATGAGGTCGAAAAGCACCGTGCTTTTCTCAATCCACCGTTCACGTGCTTCGCCTTCTTCCGGCATCTTCTCTTCCCCAACAGCAATCTTCAGTAGCTTGTAGCGTTTGAAGGCACTCCTCATCCGTCCGCTCCATTCCTCATAGTTGGAGCCATCCAAAGCTTCAACTTTTGATGGCGGCGGCTCACTTGTCTTCTCAGCTACAGCTCCTCTTCCATTAGCATCTCCTCCTCTCTCATTCATCTTCTCCTTGAGAAATGACGAATTTCAGCCCCCCTTTGCTGTCCACACTCAGCTCCCTCGATATTTTCACAAGTGTCGGCGTCCACGAAATTTCGGCAGAGTTTCCCTTAGCGGAAGACACATCCAACCTTTAGAACACCACTTAGGCACACCCACAGGCCATGGTGGGTCTAGAAGGGTCTTCACACTTCTGTAGACTCCTCTCAACGTCCTTAATACAGCTCTGATACCACTTGTTAGGATTAAGGACGGAGTCTAGGTGAACTTAGGAGCTAGAATTACTCAAAATATAAATCCGAAATTCTGGACAGAAAAGTCGTCTTCACAAGAAACGACGTCGACAAACAACTAGCCGTTGGAATGTCGCGAAACTTGGATATGTTGTAGCTCTTAATCTCAGCTACCGTTCCCAATTTGAATCATGTTGATTGATAAAGTATTCGCGACGCTATGGCTTTCGACGCACTAGGGGGTAAGCTGTAGGAGGAGAACTTAACTCAATCTCAAAGGTTCAATCAAAGTTCAAGAATCTCACAAGGAATTAGAAGGAGCAAGAGAAAGGTTGGGATAGGAAGAGAGGGATGAGAGGGGAGGTCCCAAGAGAGTCCCCAACCAAGGAAACCCCATAAGCACAAAGATTCCCTCCCTATAGGAACCCAAACTTTGACATTTGTCCCTTCCCAACCAATCCATCCAAGTTGGCCACCCTTGCCAACCTAGCTTGGTTGTTCCCAACCAATTTGCAGCTGTTACAGTAGAGTGACAAGTTTCCCCAACCCCAAAGGTCCCAACTCCATATAAAGTCACCCCACAACTTCACTTTGTAACCGCCGCAATTGTAACGCAAGCTCATGAACTTTGAATCTTCATAGCTTTCGCATTCTTGCTCCGATTGAAGCGATTCTTGTTGCGTCGGAAAGATCTTCTCAAGATCTATCATCACAAATACCTGCTCAGACAGAATAACACAAAACACATTCCCAAACTCCAGAACACACCACACACAAATTCTTTCACACACAGTCAAACCATACATACGAATTGAAACAAGAGATGAGAGGCAGACAGAATGTGATAGCATATGATGACATCACACAACACGTCCTCCGTCCGTCGGGGGTGCACCTGCCCTTGGCAGTGACGTGCTAGAGGACAGGCAGTATGAGTTGGCCTACCTTGCTGCCGCTGTTCCCCATCTCTTCTCCATGCTTGTATCCCAAGAGGGCGACCCAGACGCTCTCGACATCCCTGTTCCACGCTCTTACGCTGAGGCATTGTCGGGGCCCTGGGCAGCCCAGTGGATACAGGCCATGGAGACTGAGATGGCATCCTACAGATCCACTGGCACCTACGTCGACGATGTTCCACCGCCTGGGGCGATCGTAGTCGATGGCATGTGGATCTACATGGTGAGTGAAGCGCGCACCTGGAGAGCCGCCGACACTGCGTGAGGGAGTGGACTTCTTCCAGACCTTCTCCCCGACCCCGAAGATGACTACTCTTCGGGTCCTATTTCACATAGCCGCACAACATGACTACGAGCTTTACTCACTCGACTTCTCCACAGCGTTTTTGCAGGGTAGTCTGCATGAGCAGATCTACCTCCGGCGCCCTCTAGGCTTCTCTGGGTCCTTCCCACCTGGGACCCAGTGGAGTCTGCGCCGTCCTGTCTACGGCCTTCGTCAGGCACCCCGTCAGTGGCACGACACGCTTCGCACCACTCTTGCTGAGCTGCAGTTCTTTCCGTCCTCTGCTGACTCCTCTCTCTTTGTTCGCACGGGTCAGACACCGTTCTACATTCTAGTGTACGTAGATGATCTTATCTTTGCTACTCCCGACAGAGTTGCACTGGCCTCAGTGAAGGCCGAGTTACTTAGGAGACACATTTGTACAGACTTGGGGGAGCTGAGGCGCTATCTGGGCTTTAAAATCTCTCGTGACCGTGCCGCTCGCACGATCACACTCTCCCAATCCCATATGGTGCAGCAGATCCTCCAGAGGTTTAGTCTCCATTTCTCCTCAGCACAACCCACCCCCCTGCTTATGGATCACAAGCTTTCTGCTCCTATTCCAGCTGATCTGGTCGAGGCAAGTGGTCCATACGCAGAGGTGGTGGGGTGCCTCATGTACCTGATGACCTACACTCGACCAGATCTAGCGTACTCTCTCAATCTCCTGGCTCGCTTTGTCGCGACAGGCAGGCACCGACCAGCCCACTGGTCGGCTGCCAAGAGGTTACTACGGTATCTGGCGAGCACATCAGGACTGGGGCTTGTGCTAGGAGGACGGGAGCCAGTGGTGCTCACTGGACACACAGACGCGTCGTGGGCAGACGACTTGGAGACGCTCAGGTCGACTCAGGGCTACTGCTTTAGTCTTGGTGCTGGTGCAGTCTCGTGGAGGTCCACCAGGTCATCCTTTGTAGCTAAGTCCAGCTGTGAGGCAGAGATCTACGCTGGGGCCATGGCTGCTCAGGAGCTCTGCTGGCTGACGTTCTTGCTCACTGACTTAGGTGAGCAGCCTAGGTCTGCCCCGGTCATGTTTCCTGACAACAGGGCGATGATCCTCTTGTGTCAGGAGGCACGACTTGAGGGTAGAGCGAAGCACATCCAGTTGCGGTACTTCCTGCTGCGAGAGTTGCAGCAGCATGGTTAGGTCCGTGTAGTACAGTTGGCCTCAGAGGCCAACATCGCTGATATCGTCACAAAGGCACTTGCGTCTCATGACCATCAGTGGTTCTGCACTCAGCTTGGTCTAGCCTCAGTAGCAGCACCTCTCCTTGTATCCTGAGTCATAGTATATCTGCCTGTACTTGTTGTGTTATACCTGCTTGTCTTGCTACACTTGCTGACTAGCCTTGTGGCCTCTTGTCTCAGTGGTCAGACTAGTAGTACTGCCCTGAGTTTTCTTATTACACTCATCAGAGGTCAGACTAGTAGTGCTGCCCTAGTGTACTCTTCCTTGTTAGGAACTGCCACTATGCTAGGGGGTGTGTCAGAAAATATAATTGTCTATGCTAGGTACTGTATATTTGTTATAGCCTTAGTTAGGTCAGTTCTTAGAGGGTACATTCCCACCTTTGTAACCCTCTGCCTTCCTCCCTTAGTCACTTTTCTCTCGACATTCTATCACATGGTTCTATGGAACGTGCATATGCGTTTTTCAATTCCAAAATATTTGTGCATGTTACACCACTTTGTTTTGTGTCACATATCAACATCTCGTGTCCTCATCTCGTACCCTACAGTGCGGCCCTTCCGCTTGCCACATCGTCAGCTAAACTAGTTGAGTGAAGGACGAGGCTGGCAAAGCATCCAATCAACGAGTGCTGCAGGCCTCGTCCTTGCTGCCTCCAATCAGCGGGCGGCAGCAGAGGTTTGTTTTGGCGGGAGGGCGCGAGAGTCGAGAGTGAAAAAATTGGATTTCAAGGTTTCAACATTTTTTTTTTTTTTTTTTTTCCCGTTCGGACACATTCAGGTTGACCACCAGCTCGTTTCCCCCCCTCACCCTCACGTTTATGCACGCAACTATGCACGGCACATTCTGTTGTTCCCTGTCGAAATAAGGATCCTAGGTGGCGGGGGGGTGTTCAATTGTTTTCAAGCCCAAATGTAGGGTGGTAACTATATCCAGTTTATTTAAGCACCCATACCCGCTCAAGCCACCCATGGGAGCTTAATTCCGGCGAGTACTGTATCTGGGAGAATACGGTAGGCTAGGAGGAACGAGAAGGAAGCCATGGAATGGCGCGAGGGTTTAGGAGGTAGGAGAGATAGTTGACGAGAGAAATGAGATGAGACCAGAAAGAGAGAGGGATACAAGGAGGGGATTGTACCCTCTTCAGTAGAGTTCGATAACCTACAACGCCTACCAATTATATAACACAATATATAATTTAACAATTTGTCCTTACTGTCGCGCTGACTCTTGACTCTTCCGATTCTTACAGTTGGGTTGCACGGTCAACAGTCTGCGACCGTTGCCCTTTCGTAACCTCTATCTGGTGTCGTCAATCTGTGTGAATCGCTGGTGGTTGATACTGTAGCGGTGTTGACTCGGTGATCCTCGTTGTTGCAGTCTTCGCGTATTCGTACACTCACGCGAGAACCCTCCGGAAACGCCTTAAAGCCAGGGACTCAAGTTTACCAACTGTAAAACAGTTGGTTGGGACTAAAACTACTGATTGGCCAGCGAGTTGTAGGCACCAGTGAAATTGCCTGCGATTGTCGTAATTCACGACAAGGGTATAAGCCTAAATGTTGTACCCTCTAAGATAAGAACCTATACAGTCTATACAAACATAACCTAAATATATGTTTGACACACCCCCTAGACTGCATAGGTGCAGTTCCTGATGAGAGAAACGGCAACTCAGGGCGGCACAACTAGTCCAACCTCTGAGTCAAGGGTCCAAAGACCAGTCAAACAAGTACAGACCAGTGCAAGGGCAAGACCAGGGCGGCACTACTAGTCCCGCCACTAGGAGAGGCCACAAGGCCAGTCAAGAATAAAATACATATAAAGGTCAGTACATAGTCAAGGCCCTAGCAGGTGAGAGGTAACAGGAACAAGGCCTAGCTGTACACAGTGCCGCTGATGATCTTTAGGCGCAAGGGCCTTCGCAAAGATATCACCTGTATTGGCACCGGAGGCCAAGTGTACTACGCGAGCCTGGCGACGCTGCTGCAGCTCCCGCAGGAGGAAGTACCGCAGCTGGATGTGCTTTGCTCTGCCCTCAAGGCGAGGCTCCTGACACAGGAGGATCATGGCCCTGTTGTCAGCATACAGGACTGGTCCAGAACTAGGCCGCTTGCCTAAGTCAGAGAGCAGGAAGGTCAGCCAGCGGAGCTCTTGTGCCGCCATGGCACCGGTGTAGATCTCGGCCTCACAGCTAGACTGGACAACAGACGAGGAGCGAGTAGCTCTCCACGAGACAGCACCTGAACCAAGGCTAAAGTAGTAGCCCTGCGAGGACCTTAGGGTCTCAGCGTCGTCTGCCCAAGAAGCGTCTGTGTGCCCAGTAAGGACCACTAGCCTGCGTCCTCCCAGCACTAGCCCCATGCCTGATGTACTCGCGAGACAACGCAAAACCCTCTTAGCTGCAGACCAGTGCTGAGGTCTGTGTCTGCCTGTGGCCACAAAGCGAGCCAGGGTGCTGAAAGGGTATGCGAGATCTGGACGAGTGCAAGTCATCAGGTAGATGAGGCAATCCACCAGCTCTGCGTAAGGACCACTGGGCTCTGCGGAACTGGAGCAGAGAGCCTGTGATCTACTGGAAGAGGTGTGGGCTGTGCGGAGGAGAATTGAAGACCGAACCTCTGAAGGACTCGGCGCACCAAGTGTGACAGGGTGAGAGTGATGGTGCGCGCTGCTCTGTCTCTGGAGATCTGCAGGCCCAGGTAGTGACGCAGCTCTCCTAGGTCAGTGCAGGTGTGTCTTCTCAGCACCTCAGCCTTCACAAAGGCCAACGCAGTGGTGTCTACAGTGGCAAAGACCAGATCGTCTACGAAAACAAGGATGTAGAACGGAGTCTTGCAAGAACGAACTAAGAGCGAGGGGTCTGCGGAAGACGGAAAGAACTGCAGGTCTGCAAGGGCAGCACGCAGCGTGTCGTGCCACTCGCGGGGAGCCTCACGCAAGCCGTAGACTAGGCGTTGCAGGAGCCACTGGGTCCCAGGAGAGAAGGTACCAGTGAAACCCTGAGGGCGGCGCAGGTAGACTTGCTCGTGTAGACTGCCCTGAAGAAACGCAGTGGAGAAGTCGAGGGAGTGTAACTCGTAATCACGCTGTGTTGCTACGTGTAGCAGTGCCCGAAGAGTAGTCATCTTCGGGGTCGGGGCGAAAGTCTGAAAGAAGTCCACCCCCTCACCCTGACTAAAGCCTTTAGCCACATAGCGCGCCTTGAAGGCATGCGGCTCTCCAGGAGGGCGCTTCACCTTGAAGAGCCAG